TCGTTCTTACTTGCCCGCGTGTCATTCAAAACGAGTTCCCCACACCCTCGATACCCGCCCTTTCTGTCTTCGATCATACCCCCTCTTGGGGGGATTATTTCTCTTTGCGGGGGGCGGGGGGCTTAGACAGGTGGGCAAACTTGAACGGGCGGACAATCCTTCGTGGGCGTACATGTGCCCGCCATTGGAATTGGTGTGGGCCCTGCAAGAAGAGGAGGGGGAGAACGAGGGAGACTGGGAGGAAGGGATGAAAGAAGAGGGGAAACGCCATGAAAGAAGAGAGGTAGGGAAAGAGAGAGAGAGGGGGGAGAGAGAGAGAGAGAGAGAAAGAAAGAAAGAAAGAACGAGGGAGGGAGGGGGCAGGAGAGGGGATGGAGAAGGGAGGACAGAGAGGAGGGAGTGGGAGGGCAGAAAGGCATAAGGATGAGGGAAGAGAGGAGGGAGAGAGGAGGAGAGGAGGGAGGAGGGAGGAGGGAGAGGGAGGAGGAGCAGGAAGGTAAGAGCGTGAACGTTCGAGGAAATCCTAGGCGAAAGCGCCCTTCCTGAAGGAGGTTTCGGGCGGGAGCCCACGACGGGCGGGCGATCCCCTGACGGGCGGGTCGGGCGGGTGGGACATTCAAGCGGGATGCCTGAGTATGGCGAGAGCGCGATTACTAAGTAAAGTGTAGCGGCGTCCTTGGCGCAGCGTGTTTCCTGAGCGTCGAAAGCGCGATTTCTGAAAAAAATGCATAGAAGTCACGGGCGAGAGCGCAATTCCTGAGTACAATGTGACGGGTTCTCTGGCGGGAGCGGGGGTCTTGATTAAATTGCGAGGAAATGTTGATTCCATAGCGAGGAAGTTTCAAGCGGGAGCGCCGTTCTGAGTAAATTGTGAGGAAGTTTCAGATGGGAGGGGGGGTCTTGACTAAATTGCGAGGAAGTCACAGGCGGGAGCACCGATCCTGAGTAAATTGTGAGGAAGTCTCAGGAGCGGTGGTCTCGAGTAAATTTGGACGAAGTCTCAGGCGGGAGCCGTCGTTGTTGTAATCCAGGGAGCCAGGGGCCCAGTTTGAGCACCAAGATTTTCCCTGACAAAAAACAGGCTGCGAGCGTCGAGGGGCACATTTTGATTAAGAAAAACCATATGCACCAGCGAGGGGGATCAATAATAATGATAATAAGAAGAATAACAACAACAACAACAACAACAACAACAACAACCACAACAACAACAACAACAACAACAACAACAACAGCAACCACAACAACAACAACAACAACGACAACGACAACGACAACGACAACAACAACAACAAGCGTAAGACTGTTCGCGTTTATCTGCTCGAGTGTCATTCGTCGGCAATTTTCCAAGCCTTCGATACCCGCCCTCTTCGTCTTCGATCGTACCCCTTTTGGGGGTATATTTTTCTTCCCTGCAGGCCAGGCCCCGGCAAGCGGCGGGGCGGCCGCGGACCGGCGGCTTGGCCAGCGGCAGCGCTGACCGGCGGCAACCCGACCCCAAAAGGGACGGACAGGGGACCGACCGCGACGGCGACGACGACGACGGCGACGGCGACGACGAACGAAAGCGAGAGCGACAGCGACAGCGACAGCTGAGCCAAGAAGGGCAGGAAGGGGGCCACGAAGCGCAACAGCGGGGCCACGAAGGGAATGCGTATGGGGCCATTAAGGACGCGAACGAGCGGGGGCCACAAAGGGAAGATAACGCGGGGCCACAGAGGAAAACAGCGGGGCCACTGAGGGCAGCAACGGGGCCACGAAGGGCAACGAGGGGGCCACGAAGGGCGACAGCGGGGCCACGAAGCGCATGCATATGGGGCCACGACGGGCGCGAACGAGCGGGGGCCACGGAGGGCATACATATATGAGGCAACTCAGGGCAGCGACAGGCCACGAAAGGCTGCAACGGGGCCACGAAAGGCAGCGAGGGGGCCACGAAAAGCACCGAAGGGGCCACGAAGGGCTGCAATGGGGCCACAATGGGCAGCGAGGGGGCCACGAAGGGCAGCGAGGGGGCCACGAAGGGCTGCAACGGGGCCACGACGGCAGCGAAGGGGCCACGAAGGGCTGCAACGGGTCCACGAAGGGCAACGAGGGGGCCACGAAAGGCTGCAAAGGGGCCACGAAAGGCAGCGAAGGAGCCACGAAGGGCTGCAACGGGTCCACGAAGGGCAGCGAGGGGGCCGCGAAGGGATGCAACGGGGCCACGAAGGGCAGCGAGATCCCGATTCCTAAGTGAGCTGTGGGGGGTCCTAAGCTTGAGCGCGACTCCTGGGTGCCTGAGTGTCGGGAGCGCGGCGATTGACTAAAATGTTAGGGGAATTCCCAGGCAAGAGCGCGAGTCTTGAGTAAATTGCAAGCAAGGCTCCAGCGAGAGCGCGATTCCAGAGCACCGAGAGAACGATTCTTGAATAAATAGGAAGGAAATCCCAAGCGAGAGCGCGATTCCTGCGTAAAATGCGAAGAAGTCTCAGGCGTGAGCGGGGGTCCTGGCTAAATTGCGAGAAAATATCAGGCGGGAGCCGTTGTTGTTGTAATCCAGAGGCCAATAACGCAGTTTGAGCTTAGTGACTTTCCATATATATGAAAAATGCGAGCCCCGGGGGAAGCACTTCAGTTGAAAAAAAACAAAGGTCTCCAGAGGGGTGGATCAAGTTTCCCAGTACTGAAAGTTCAGCACCAACAACAACAACATCAACAACAACAATAACAATAACGACAACAACAACAACAACAACAACAATTACTAGCACGTGGGGACACTCCGTTCTCACCAGTGCCAGGGTTTTCATAGGAGGCGGGCAATACCCCCACTTTGTGGGGGGGCCGGTTCAAGCTCTACCAAATTTCCAAACGACTCTTCGCCACCACCCACACCCAGCTTCCCGCCCTATGACGTTCGGACACTTCACTTCGTGGCATGCGGACGACCGTGGCTACTATTCAGGGCCCCGCGGCCGACGACGACGGCGTGCGCGCGCGAAGAAAAAACGAATGTGTCCCGCATGGTATTATTTGACAGGGATGATGGCCCTGGCAGGTGCGCAACCGTTGTTGCAGAAGTTCGAAAAAGTTGCTCGCAAAAGCCCGTTTGACAGAAATGTTTAAAAAGTGTTGGGTTTCCTACGAATCCGCAAGAGCGCGCGGGATGAGATTTTGACATTTTTTTTGAAAAACCATTGGTTTTTTGATGTTTTTATGTTAAAATCGCTACGAACACTAAGGTTTTGGAAGGATTTCGTCTTGCGCGCGCGAATGTCCACTTTACCTTTTTTTTTGCAAGGGATTCTTGAAATTTGATTATATTAGAACAAGAAATGTCATTTTCTATTGTTTTTTGCAAGGGAAAGCGGATTACAACAAAACAACCGGATCCTGTACACACCCTATTTTCTGAGGCTTCCTCACGAAAATGATGAAAATGTAGCTGCGGCCTAGGCGGCGCAGGGGGGGCGCGCACCAGGGGGCCCAACAACAATTATTCTTTAGAATAAATAATGTTCAACAACAACAACAACAACAACAACAACAACAACAACAACAACAACAACAACAACAACAACAACAATCATTTTACCCGAACGCTCAGTGTTCTCACCAGTGCCAGGGTTTTCATGCGACGCGAGACAATACCCCCACTTCGTGGGGGGGCAGTTCAAGCTCTACCAAATATCCAAACGACTCTTCGCGACCACCCAAACCCAGCTTCCCGCCCTATGACGTTGGGACACTTCACTTCGTGGCGTGCGGACGACCGTGGCTACTACACTGGCGTGGGGTACACACCCACAGAACTTGGTCACTTATTCGGGGCGCGCGTGTGCCCAGCATCCTGCAATTGTGACATACAATACATGACACAGACAGACAGAGAGAGAGACAGAGAGCAGACAGAGAGAGAGACAGAGAGAGCGGAGTTGGTCACATTTTTGGGGCAAGTTCCTGAGATCGTCGTGTTTTTTGTTGGTCTTGCGCGCGCGAATGTCCACTTTACTTTTTTTTGCAAGGGAGATTGAAATTTGATTATGTTAGAACAAGAAAAAGTAGCTCGCGCGAGCTCATGTAACATAAATGTTGAAAAACCATTGGTTTTGTGGGAGTCGGACAGCGCGCGCGGGATGAAATTTGGACATTTTTTTTGAAAAACCATTGGGTTTTTGATGTTTTTATGTTGAAATCGTTACGAAACCTAAGGTTCTGGAAGGATTTCGTCTTGCGCGCGCGAATGTCCACTTTACCTTATTTTTTGCAAGGGATTATTGAAATTTGATTATGTTAGAACAAGAAAAAGTAGCTCGCGCGAGCTCATGTAACATAAATGTTGAAAAACCATTGGTTTTGTGGGATTCGGACAGCGCGCGCGGAAGGACATTTTGACAATTTTTTCTTTAAAAAACCATTGGGTTTTTGATGTTTTTATGTTAAAATCGTTACGAAACCTAAGGTTTTGGAAGGATTTCGTCTTGCGCGCACGAATGTCCACTTTACCTTATTTTTTGCAAGGGATTCTTGCAATTTGATCAAGTAAGAACAAGAATTTTCATTTTATAGTGTTTTTTGCAAGGGAAAACGGAGTACAACAAAACAACCGGATCCGGTACTAATCCACTTTTCTGAAGCTTTCGCGAAAAAATGATTAAAAAATTTAGCTGCGGCCTAGGTTTTGGAGGGGGGTCGCGCACCAGGGGTCCCAACAATAATTATTCTTAAGAAGAAATAATGTTCAACGGCAACATCCCTAACAACAACAACAAAAACAACAAGAAGAGCGACCTCAACTGCACAATAACAACACCAGCAGCAGCGACAACAAAAAAAACCCAACAAGCATAACAATACAAACAACAGCAACAACGACAACAGCAACAACAGCAACAACAACAACAGCAACAACACCAACAACAACGACAACAATAACAACAAAGCCAGCAGCAGCAACAGCAACAGCAAAAACAACAGCAACAACCATTTAAGTACAACAACGCGCCCTTTTCGCAGAGCCTTCCGGCCGCCACAGCCGCCGCAAGGCAGTTCCAGCGCCTCTTCCCCGGCGTGCGCCTTTGCGCGGCCCACGGCGTGGGCGCGCCCGAGACCCTGCTGGCGCGGCGCCCGGCGCCCGGCTGATCGCCGCGGCCTGCCGCCATCGGCCGTTTGCCCTCCTCTTCTTCCTCCTCTCCCTCCTCCTTCTCATCTTCCTCCTCCTCCTCCTCCTCCTTCTCCTCCTCGTCCTCCTTCTCCTCCTCCTTCTCCTCCTCCTCCTCGTCCCCCTCGTCATCCTCCTCCTCCTCCTCCTCCTCCTCCTCCTCATCCTCCTCCTCTTCCTCCTCCTGCTCCTCCTCCTCCTCTGCCTCCTCCTCCTCCTCCTCCTCTCCTCCTCCCTCTCCTCCTCTCTCCTCCCCTCCTCCTCCTCCTCCTCCTCCTCCTTCACTCCTTCCTCCTCCATCCTTCATCCTCCATCCACCCTCCTCCTCCTCCTCTTCCTCCTCCTCCTCCTCTGCCTTATCCTCTTCCTCCTCCTCCTCTTCCTCCTCCTCCTGCTGCTCCTCCTCCTCCGCCTCCTCATCTTCCTCCTCCTCCTCCTGCTCCTCCTCCTCCTCGCCCTCCTCCTCCTTCCCCTCCTCCTCCTCCTCCTCCTCCTCCCCTCCTCCTCCTCCTCCTCCTCCTCCTCCACCTTCTCCTCCTCATCCCCCTCCTCCTCTCCTCCTCCTCCTCCTCCTCCTCCTCCTCCTCCTCCTCCTCCTCCTCCTCCTCCTCCTCCTATTCTTATTCATTGGTTTGCCGATCGTCGCGGGCCCTCGGACACCCCTTTCCCCCCCTCCCGTGGAGTAGATTCTGGTTGTTGTTGGCGCCTGTCTTAGACAGGTGGGGTCTCCCCCACAGGAGGCATTGTTGCAAACAGTCGCATTAAGCAGAGGTCTGGAGCCAGACCCCCCCCCTTTCCCCCTCCTTCCGCCCAATGTCGAAACGGCGGATCAGAAAACGCACCTGCAGTTCCCGACTCGCCGCCAGTGTCGCCGCGGACGTTGCCGATTTGAGACAGAAGGCCGCCTGCCCAACAGCGGCCGCCGTCGGTTTTTTACAACATTTGTTGTTGAGCATCGTATCCATTTTCCCGTACCCTTTTTCCCGTGTCCAATGCAGACCGCTGGCTCCCCAGACTCGGGCGTTGCGTACTCAAAGCTGGTCGCATCGTGGCAAAAAAAAACAGGACGGGAGGTGTTCCTCTGTTTTCGGCTCCTGGGGGCCCTCGCCAGGCCCCGGGACCGTCAAAAAAACCATTCAGGATGAAAAACCAGTCCTGCGAGAAGGTTCGGGACGTCGAGTGACCGAGTATTGAAAAAATGAGGACGTCGCATGTTTGGACAATGAGGGGAGGTGCACCTCTTGTGCCCTAAAGGAGCTCCCTGGGGCCCGAAAGGGGCACGAAAGGTGCACGTTTCTCTCCCCCCCCACACACTTCTCGCCCCCCCCCCCCCCAGTAAGCAGCGCCGGATAGAAATCCGGCGTCTCGAAAAAATCAGGACGGATGCTTTTCAGCGTTTCCGGCCTCTCGGGGCCCGTGCCGGAGCCCGGGGCCGTCGATTTTGAGGGTCCAGTTTTCGTGGGGTGACTGCAGCGAGAGCGCGCGTCCAACTTCAGAGTAGGTCTCGTCATTTTCCTGACGGCCCCGTCAGGCCAACCCGAGTCACCCGAAACCGGGTCTTACGTCTCCACGACAGGACCCTCGCAGATCGATGCGGCTCGAGAACTGGCGCAGGAAGCTGGGGTCCAGGGTTCTGGTCGAGGTTGTTATTTCCATGTTGCGTGTTGTTCGTGACGTCGGATCTCAGGGGAAGGGGGTGATGACCAGGGGGGGGGATCATGGCAGGGGCCGTCACATCTGCCCAGATGTCATGGCCCCCCTTCTCTTGTTTCGACATATCCCCTGGCACCCCCCTGGGCCGCGCATGTGCCTCGGGCCATGATTTGAGAGTCCCCTCTTGGACGCCCCCTCCCGGACTCCATTTTGAACAGGGCTCGCTCGCTGTCGGTGCCGTCACGGGCCTTGTCCATTTAGGATACAAGGCCGCCTGCCCACCAGCGGCCACTGCCGGTTTTCGACAACATTTACTGTAGGGCGTCATGCCAATGAGTTCCGAACGAATTTCGGGCGTTCACAAAAAGGTGTTGGAAAATTGAGGCGAAGGTTTCTCGTCGTTCTCGGCAGACATAATGGCATGCGTGAGTCGCGAAAAAAAACACGATGGCAGGTTGTTAGCGAGTTTCGACCTCCGGGGGACTTCGATTGCCCCCGGTATTGTGAAAGGCAAACTCGGACCGAAAAATTGGCATTGCGGAAGGGGTCGGCCGCCGTAGGGCCCCTGAAGCCAGGACACTGCCAAGCCAGGGTGCTCAGCATGAAGGGGTCAGGCCTCGAGCCACGGCACCGGTTTTCTTGGGCGCACCAGCGTTTTGGCCCTGGTTTCGCAAAGTTCGGCCACGCGCAGAAGGAGGGTAATTAGGGGGAGGAGGAGGAGGAGGAGGAGGAGGAGGAGGAGGAGGAGGAGCAGGAGCAGGAGCAGGAGCAGGAGCAGGAGCAGGAGCAGGAGCAGGAGCAGGAGCAGGAGCAGGAGCAGGAGCAGGAGCAGGAGCAGGAGCAGGAGCAGGAGCAGGAGCAGGAGCAGGAGCAGGAGCAAGGGAGGAGAGGAGGAGGAGGAGGAGGAGGAGGAGGAGGAGGAGCAGGAGCAGGAGCAGGAGCAGGAGCAGGAGCAGGAGCAGGAGGAGGAGGAGGAGGAGCAGGAGGAGGAGGAGAAGGAGGAGGAGGAGGAGGTCTCGAGCCACGGCACCGGTTTCCCTGGGCGCACCGGCGTCTTGGTCTGGCAAGGTCTCTGCTCCCGGGGCCCCGGCTGCCAGGCCCCGGGCCTCCGGCGCGGGAAGAGAGAGCCTCGGGGCGGAGGCTCTTCGGCGCCCTCGGCGTCGGGATCCTGATCCTGGGGAGGGAGGGAGGGAGGGAGGGAGGGAGGGAGGGAGGGAGGGAGGGAGGAGGAGGAGGAGGAGGAGAGGAGGAGGAGGGAGGGAGGTGGGAGGGAGGAGGGAGGAGGGAGAGAGGAGGAGGAGGAGGAGGGAGGAGGGAGGACAGGAGGGGGGGGAGGAGGGAGGAGGGAGGAGGGAGGCGGGAGGGGGGAGGAGAGGAGGGAGGGACGTCCGAGGCCAGCATTTTGAGAAGCCCAGCCGGGGAGGACGAAGACTGGAGCATGTCCCCACACGGCCGCAGTCTTCTCGGGCGCGCCAGCGTCCTGGCGTCGCCTCTTAATTTCCGGGGCCCAGGCCGCCAGGGCCCAGACGTCCAGCGTCATGAAAGACTCGAGGCGTGGGTTCTTCGTTGTTCTCGGCGTCCGGATCCCTCCTTGGGGAGTGGGGGAACGAGCAATGGCATAAACATGATAACTCGGAGGTCCGCGCGGATTTCTCGGATCGGCGCGGCGGCGGAGCGCGCCAGGGAGGGGTGTCCAGCGCGGATCCAAGAAATCCGCGCGGACCTCCGAGTTTTTATGTGTGTGTCATTCTTCGTTCCCCTATTGGGAGCTCCAGGGCCCCTCAGCGCCCCTGAAACCAGGACGTCTGCAGACCAGGAGTCTGAGAGTTCCAGCCGGAGGGGGCGGAGGATGGAGAGAATGCCTCGACCCACGACTGCGGTTTTCTCGGGCGCGCCAGCGTCCTGGCCCTGGTTTCGCAAAGTTCGGCCACGCGCAGAAGGGGGGTAATTACAGTCGGCCCGGATTAGTAGGTCGACCCTGCCAGCTCAAGGGTACCCTTGTGTCCTGTGCCTCGCGACCCATGCTTCCTACATTCCTGTGGCAATGTGCCCCTCTGAAGGGTCTTGTGTCCTCTCGCGTGTCCTCTCCAATGAAGTCCGACTGTAGGGGGAAAAGGAGGAGGATGAGGAGGAGGAGGAAGAGGAGGAGGAGGAGGAGGAAGATGAGAAAGGGGAGGAGGGGAAGGGGGCAGGGCTCCTTAGAAGCACCTCTGCTTCTTCGAAGGCGCGGGCCGTCTCCGTAGGTCCAGAGCCCGCGCCTTCTGAGAAGCAGCCTGCTTCTCTAAGAAGGCGGCCCCCTCTCCCCCCCCCCATCTGCACGCTGCCAAAAATCAGGAGGGAAAAACACACAGACACAATGAATCGTCGATTCCCCAAAACATATGGGAAAATTATCCCGGCAAAGCAACCTAACAGCGATGTGTAGGAGCATATCTGGAAGCATTCCCCTTAAGATTGACATGAGAATCCAGTTGTAGAATTCTGCTGTTCTCGCAGTCGCAGTCGCATTCGCGATGAAAGTCGCAGTGGTAACGGCAGTCGCAGTCACAGCCTCAGCCTCAGCCTGCCTCAGCCTCAGCCACAGCCTGCCTCAGCATCAGCCTGCTTCAGCCTCAGCCTCAGCCTCAGCCTGCTTCAGCCTGAGCCTCAGTCTGCCTTCAGCCTCGGCCTCAGCCTCAGCCTGCCTCAGCCTCAGCCTGCATCAGCCTCAGCCTCAGCCTCAGCCTGCCTCAGCATCAGCCTGCCTCAGCCTCAGCCTCAGCCTGCCTCAGCCTCAGCCTCAGCCTGCTTCAGCCTCAGCCTCAGTCTGCCTTCAGCCTCGGCCTCAGCCTCAGCCTGCCTCAGCCTCAGCCTGCATCAGCCTCAGCCTCAGCCTCATCCGCCTCAGCATCAGCCTGCCTCAGCCTCAGCCTCAGCCTGCCTCAGCCTCAGCCTCAGCCTGCTTCAGCCTCAGCCTCAGTCTGCCTTCAGCCTCGGCCTCAGCCTCAGCCTGCCGCAGCCTCACCCTGCCTCAGCCTCAGCCTCAGCCTCAGCCTGCCTCAGCCTCAGCCTGCCTCAGCCTCAGCCTCAGCCTGCCTCAGCCTCAGCCTCAGCCTGCTTCAGCCTCAGCCTTAGCCTCAGCCTTCAGCCTCAGCCTCAGCCTGCCTAAGCCTCAGCCTGCATCAGCCTGAGCCTCAGCCTCAGCCTGCCTCAGCATCAGCCTGCCTCAGCCTCAGCCTCAGCCTGCCTCAGCCTCAGCCTCAGCCTGCTTCAGCCTCAGCCTCAGTCTGCCTTCAGCCTCGGCCTCAGCCTCAGCCTGCCTCAGCCTCAGCCTGCCTCAGCCTCAGCCTCAGCCTGCCTCAGCATCAGCCTGCTTCAGCCTCAGCCTCAGCCTCAGCCTGCTTCAGCCTGAGCCTCGTCTGCCTTCAGCCTCGGCCTCAGCCTCAGCCTGCCTCAGCCTCAGCCTGCATCAGCCTGAGCCTCAGCCTGCCTCAGCATTCAAAATGTGACCCGGGAATGGAATTCTGGGAACTCGAAAAACACGAAGTGGCCTGCAGTTGGCTCCGGGCATTCAAAATCATGCCCAGGAATGGAGTTCTGGGAACTCGAAGACCACGAAATGGCCTACAGTTGGCTCCGGGCATTCAAAATCATGCCCAGGAATGGAGTTCTGGGAACTCGAAGACCACGAAGTGGCTTACAGTTGGCTCCGGGCATTCAAGATCATGCCCAGGAATGGAGTTCTGGGAACTCGAAGACCACGAAGTAGCCTACAGTTGGCTCCGGGCATTCAGAATGTGGCCCGGGAATGGAGTTTTGGGAACTCGAAGAGCACGAAGTGGCCTACAGTTGGCTCCGGGCATTCAAAATGTGGCCCGGGAGTGGAGTTCTGGGAACTCGAAAACCACGAAGTGGCTTACAGTTGGCTCCGGGCATCCAAAATGTGGCCCAGGAATGGAGTTCTGGGAAGTCGAAGAGCACGAAGTGGCCTACAGTTGGCTCCAGGCATTCAAAATGTGGCCCGGGAATGGAGTTCTGGGAACTCGAAGACCACGAAGTGTGTGACTGTTTGCTTAAAACGAGCCCGGCCCTGAGCCCGGCCCTCGCTGTCCGGATGCCGCCCAGACTTCCTTTCTGAGGCATCAGATGCTC